TATACACATTTACACATACATGCACACATGATAATAGAAATGATGATAATCATTGTAATAATAATAATGATAATAAAGATAAAAGTAAGAATGGCTAGTAATTATATGAATAACAACGATTATGAAGATAATGATAATAATGGGAAATGTTTTCAATGCATTTTTAAAATATCTATTGCCTCCCTTTGATATTTCCAACTTTGTATCTCTTTCCCTCTGTTTATATACATGTGTGTGTATGTGTACGCGTATGAATGTGTGTACATTTACGCATATGTACATATTTACATATAGGTCTCTACCTATCTTCATGTTTTTTTCCGTTCACTACTGGTCTCCTCAAAGCTTACCCCAATGGTTGACGTTTTGCTTTGCTATAGTATTCATTCACCTGCAATTACTCTTATCTCACCTTTGGCCCTCCTGGTCTCAACAACTTAATCAGATGCTTTTGCTTTCACTAATAACAATGATAAGGGATTTGCTCATTCATTCATATAATTGGTGAAGAGAGGACAATGCTCAGGTTCAGTTGAAGACAAAAGGGGTATCCAGTCAGACAAGGGTGACAAAGTCAACTCAGGGTCCTGCATAGGTACATCGTCAAAATAAAAAAATCAGGATGATATAATACGTTCCCTAAGATAGGAGATAATTTATACACATATAGTTAGGTAGATAAATATATATAATTACATAATGCATCACCACTGATAAGCGTATTTAGCGAAGGATTGGAAAATAAATATAATTTCTAGGAGAAATATTATTTATTTAATTTGATGGTCAGCAAGAATGAATAGCGTTATGAACACTGCAGATATTCACTGTGACTCTCAGGTCCAGTCAGTGACAGTCTGAAAGCTACCTTCGGTCACAATGACGACTCCGATCCACTCAGTCTGCCTGCGTGCGCGCATGATGATGGTGTGATTGTGAGGTGCTTAATGTAAGAAGGCGGTGCTCATGACTAGCATGAGAAGGTGGAATCCAGCATGAAGGAGAGATCGTCCCTGGAGAGGACGCACTTGTCGAAGAGGGCGCTGCAGACCTTGGCGTCTTTCTTGGCGAACTTGGAGCCGAAGGTGATGGCCAGGTCGTAGACGCCTCGGGATCCCTTGAGGTTGCTGTTGTTGTCGAAGGCGGTCTTGAAGGTGGACATGGCTGGCGTGAGCTGGTCAGCGGACATGGCCTCGATTTCGCACAAGAGTTTGGCCACGCAACCAGCAGAGTCCATCTTCTGGGCCACAGCAATCTGTTGGAATGAAAAGAATATTAGTAAAGTCCAGAATCCTTTATGCTTCATTTCACATATACATAATAGCACAAGTATATTTTGTGAATGTAATTGATAGAAGCGTTAACTTCTGTTGCAACGTCCTCCTCCATGGAATCGACGTCCCTCCTGTAACGACGCTTCAGATGCTTCCCGACAAGAACTCCCTTGAGCACTGCCAGGGCGCCCACGCCCAAAGCTGCCGCTGCAGAAGCAGTGACAGTGGTAGCGGCGATGGTTCCGGCTGCGGCGGTGGTTCCCAAGAGGATGAGAGACTCGGAGGAGGCCCAGAGGCCGCACAGGAGGAGAGCGACAAACACGCGAGAATTCATGATGGTGGCGGAGTCTGTGAGGAGAAAAGTTGACAGTGAGGCTACGCAGAAAAAGGAAATCCTCAGAAGTGGACTACCTGAGAAATATTCCAGATAGCATCAGAGGAAACTATTTCAGAAGTATCAGAGGAACTGTCTTTCCCTTACCTGCTTGTGTTCTGGAGCAGTAAGAGGACGAGTGTGATGATGGTTCCTGGCAGAGCGCAATATAGCGAGTGGACGGAGGCAGGGCGGGTGAAGGACCTGATCCTGACAGGTAAAGCCTATTAGCGGTAAATTAGTATAGTATTTCAATCCTTATGTACGTGCTTCCTGAACGCCCAAATATGCTGGCATTTACTTCTCTGAGCGCTCGTTACAAGAAGTTGCTTTGCAAGTATTTAGATGCGCATTTTTAAAATCCTCATATATATATGTATATATATAAACATATATATGCATATACATGCATGCATCTTTTATATGCATATACAGACAGATGGCGGATGAATAAATACATACAAACGTAACGCTTATATACATATATATGTATATATTTATATAGATAGATATAGATATATAGCTATAGATATAGATAAGTATATTTATATATCTGTGTATGTGTGCGTGGCTGTGCATGTATTTATACATATACATATATGTATGTGTGTAAGTATAGAAATACATACATACATATATGTATATATATGTATGAATGTATACATATATATGCATACATATATGTACACACACATAGATACATATATACATTTATATGTATATTTGTATATATAGGTATATTTATTTATGTACATACAATATACATATATATATATTATATATATATATATATATATATTATATATATATATATATAAACATGTACGATTATATATAAAGGTATACAAGTGTA